AGGTCCTGCACCGAGTAGGTCTCCTCTTCGGTCTCCTCGATGCTGTCCGTGAGGAACATCTGGTGCGAGGACCTTCGCTCTCGGACCGGCGTCCCGAGGATGACCTCGCCGCCTCGCCCCGCCATCATGACCTTCGACCCAGGGGAGGCCAGGAGGGAGCTGATGTCACTCACCCTGTAGGGCGCGTATTTGGAGGTGGGCGAGGAGGCGGCGGGCGCGGGGCAGAGGCTCGTCAGGTTCCCTGTGGAGCACGAAGACTTCTTGCCGTGATGGAGGCTCGACTCGTGTGCTCCGGACTCGTAAGGGTCACGAGGTCAGTAAGAGACGTGGCGGGTGACCTGCCGTGATATGACCCGGACTCGAATCCCGATGACCTGCTGACGTTCCTGGCGGATGATAAAGTAACATGGAAATAACTGCTTTCAGGTAATGATCACATTTTAATTGCATTGTGTCTTGGGTGCCAGATGCGAAGCGGCGGTTAATGTTTTTTTCAAGAGCAAGTTGTTACATTATGTCTCAAGCAACAGAAAAAATAAAATCTAAACATATAAAACTATAGAATCACTGTTAAATTTAGTTTAATTTTCCGTCGTTTTGAAATTTAATGTAGCAACTTTGGGACAGTAGTCATGGCATAATTTATAGTTTACAGAAACACAATTTACATCATTTGTAAGAAAACATAAATAAATAAAGTCCTATTCAAAGATACAACTGTTTCGATCTTGTCAACAATCACCACAATTCAAGGGTAAAAAATAAATAGATAAAAATTAAATCCTATTCAAAGGTAGAACTGTTTCGATCTTGGAAACAATCTACACAATTTAATCATAAAGAAAAGGTTAATCAGGCGCTCGTTTCCCTCAGTCCAAAAAACGAATAAATAAGAATAAAATCCTATTTAAAGGCACAATCATTTCGATTTTAAAACAATTTCCACAAATAAATTATATAGAAAAACATTCGTGGGCTCGTTTCCCCCCACTTCAGTAAATAAATAAAAAAAAATCAATAAAATGCAATTCATGCGCACAATTGTTTATATATATATATATATATATATATATATATATATATATATATATAATATATATATATATATACATATATAATACATATATATACATATATATACATAATATAGATATAGATATTTATATATCAGTCACAGCAATAAATTAATAAATTGATTAAAAATCATTTCAAGACAACCCAATTCAAAGACACAATTGTTTAGATTATAGAAAAAAAAACGTAAGCTCGTTCCCCTCCTCCAATAAATAAATTAAATTAAAAATCCTAATCAAGAACATCCAATTCAAATGCACATCTGTTTGGAAAAAAAGAAAAGAATAAATCAGAGGCTCGTTTCCCCCACTCCTCACCTAGACGTAACCAGAAGAGAATCGGCGAGCGAGGCCAGTCGGTCCAGGTGGAAGGCGCCGGGGATGTCGGGGCCGGGCACTTGGCACCCACTGCTGCTGCTGCTGCCCGAGGAGCACGTCTGAGGGCGGCGAAGGGAAGAGCGTTTTAGAATTCTTAGGTGAGGTATTATTCTGTTTGTTTGTTTGTTTTTTGTCATTTCTGTGTGGTGTTGCTGGAATACTTGGTTGTGTGTATTTTTTCTTATTTTGCGTGTCATTTCTGTAAGGTATTTAAATTCGACAAAAATGTGTTTAATTGTGCATGTGCGTGTGCATTTGCATGTACGTGTCATCTCTAAATATCACGCTATAACTTTACAGTAACAGTACGCACAGCCGATACATAGGCCTATCACTCACACTCAGCCCATCCTCAGGCTTGCAGTCGGCGTGGTTGCCAAATCCCAAGACGCTGTCGTGAGAGGGCGTGGCCGAGGGAAGCCGAGGTGATGTCACGCCCACAACGGGAGAGATCACTCGCGGGGAAGCAAGGCCGCCCACGAGCACGCCGCCCACTTTGCCCGGTCTCTGTGGGATTGGGTGGAGGGAGTTTGTAGGAAAGAGGTAGTTAGTCATCTCTGTCTCTATCCCTTTCTCATTCTCTGTCTCTATCTGTCAATCTCTCTAACCATCTATCTATCTATATATCTATCTATGACTCTATCTCTCTCTCTCTCTCTCTCTCTCTCTCTCTCTCTCTCTCTCTCTCTCTCCTCTCTCTTCTCTCTCTCTCTCTCTCTCCTCTCTCCTCTCCTCTCTCTCTCTCTTTCCTCTCTCTCCTCTCTCTCCTCCCTCTCTCTCTCTCTCCTCTCTCTCGTCTCACTCTCTTTCTCTCTCTCTCTTCCTCTCCTCTCTCTCTCTCTCTCTCTCCTTCTCTCTCTCTCTCTCTCTCTATCTCTTCCTTCTCCTCCTCTCTTCTCGCCTCTCTCTCTCCTCCTCTCTCTCCTCTCTCCCTCCTTTCTCTCTCTCCTCTCTCCTCCCCTCTCTTTCTCTCTCCTCTCCTCTCTCCTCTCCTCCTTTTCTCTCCCTCTCTCTCTCCTCTTTCTCCCTCTCTCCTTTCTCCTCTCCCT